CATATCAGATATTTACATTACAATTCATAACAGTAGCAAAATTACAGTTATGAAGTAGCAACGAAAATAATTTTATGGTTGGTGGTCACCACAACATGAGGAACTGTATTTAAAGGGTTGCGGCATTGGGAAGGTTGAGAACCACTGGGTTAGAGAAACAACTAAATTTCACATGCAGCATTGAAAAGCCTGATATCGTTTAATGCAGCTTCCCAGTTTCCTCCTACCCATTTTTAAACAAGTAATATATGGTGGTAGAGTGGAATACAGCATTTATTAAATTCAGAAAAGATGTTTATACTGCTGAATAATAGATCCAAGACTTGTTTGTTCATTCTGTATATTTAAAAGACAACATCAATGGAAGATACATAAATATAGAGAGATATCCTGTTTCCCTGAAAATAAGACCTCCTCGGGTAATAAGGCCAATTGGGCTTTTGAGTGCATGCACTAAAATAAGCCCTCCCCTGAAAATACCCCCCTCTAAAATACTTACTGTAAATGCATGCGCAGCCGGTCCCTGACCATTTCCTGGGAGGAAAGGGGGAACATGCCTCACACGCCCCACATGCACCTGCCATCCATGCGGAATGGCCTCACGGAGGCCACTACCACAAACCTTAGCTATCGCATCCCTTTTCTTAGTGGCAGCTGCAAAAAGAGTGGCAGGGCCAGTGATGCTAGGGCTGGTAAGAGGGTGCCAGAAACAGAGACAGAACTTCTGGCATTCTCTGGATCATATGATCTGCAGGCCAAGGTTAAGGGGCCTCCTGCATCTCAAAAATAAGACCTCCCCAAAAATAAGGCCAAGCGCTTATTTTGGTGGTCAAAAAAAGATAAGACTCTTGTCTTATTTTCGGGAAAACACAGTAGATATACATTTAACTTTTAACATTCACTTGTTTACTAACCTAGTAACTCCTACTTGGTTTCCCAGACATTGCGGGCTGCTGGCAAAGGGTACATGTTCTTTTTCGTCGTGGTGATTTTCCTGGGCTCTTTCTACCTTATCAACCTGATCTTGGCAGTAGTAGCGATGGCCTATGATGAGCAAAATCAAGCTACTATTGAGGAAGCTCTCCGAAAAGAGACAGAGTATCAGCAAATGCTTGAGCATCTGAAAAGGCAACAAGAGGAAGCTCAGGTACTGGTGTCTAAAATCTTCAAGAAAAATAAATATAGATAAGTAGGAACTGCACAAAACATTTTCCTTTTAGAAGGACTTTGTGAGACTCCCCTGCGGCATGGTTTTTAGTCTCAAAGTGTTCAAAAAATCTATTGCATTTTCAAGGTTCACGTAGTCCTCAACTTACAACAGGGCATTTACTGACCTTCCAAAGTTACAACAGCATTGAAAAAAGTGACTTAAGACCGTTTTTCATATTCTACAATTTTCATATTGTAGCATCCCCATGGTCATCTGATCAAAATTCAGA